CCTGCAGCTGCAGCGCCGTGACAGCTACCAGGCGCCTGGCTCCTTGAATAGTGAGTGAAGGGAGAGGACAGAGGGGGGTGCGGGTTCCAGGAGGGGTGCCGGCTCAGGAGGGGTGCCGGCTCCAGGAGAGGTGCATGCCGAGGGGTGAGGGGATCCCACCCCGGAATCCGACCGTGCGGCCCCACGCTTGGACCCCGGCCGGGCGCCGGCGCCGGTCCCTGGGACCAGGAGGAAGAATGCGGCGTTCCGGGAAGGGAAGCCAGATGTGCCAAGGTGGGATGGCGGGCCCGGGCCCTGCCCGCCGCGCCGAGCCTGGACGCCAGCTCCAAGGGCGGTGCGGGTGGAGGCCTCCAGGGGCGCCCTTCTGCCCCTGGATGCGGTGCCTCCCCACCCGGCCGGAATGGGCGCCAAATGCCCCTCCCCTCCCCCACCGGCCCAGGGGCTCGGGCTCGGCGGGGCGGCCCCCAGGGCCTGGCCAGGTGTCTGCCCGGGTGCCTGACCCCGACTCCCCGAGCCCCCTTTCCACGTAGGGCCCGCGCCCCCGGATCCCGGGTCAGTCTCCCCGGGTTGGGCCACCTCAGCCTTGCTGGCGGGCGCGGGAGATCCTGCTCGCGGTTATCTCCCGCCTCCTCCACCACCGGCCCGCGCCCTCGGGGGCACCCCGCCGCCCCAGCATCTCCGGGGTCTCCCCCACCCGCTCCCGCCAAATACAGGGACCCCCCTCACGGAACCAAGCTCTCCAGGGGTGTCCGAGCAAAAACGTTCAATTTCTCTCTTTTTTTCCTTTACTCAGTAACTCAGTCTCAAGGCCCGGAATCAAAGGGAGAGAAGGAGAAAAAAAAACCACCACACTATTTTTTAGCACAAAACCATGGATTTGGCCATTTTGAGCTGATTTTGTGAGAATCTGTACTCCTGGAACACTAGGTTTTTATTTACAAACTTGGATGGAATGGAAGGCGCTCAGATAAACGCTTATTTTTATTCTCTTTGTTGCTGTCTCTAAAAGAGATGGAAATGCACTTATTTTTAACTTAGAAATTACCAACGTTTTTTAAGTAGCAATTTGATAGTGTGATATTTGGTGATCTCTGGAAGATGCCCATGTCTCTAGAAAAGGAATCTGGAATAGGAGAGAGAGAGGGGAAAAAATACTTAATTGATCTTCAGATGGCTCCCTTGTGAAATGCTGAAGCTTGATGGCTTTAAGTTTTTTGATTGTTTAATTGCAATTGTCTCTTTACCATCTTACTCCTAAAGAGAATGTTTGCAATCCTCTTGAATTCTTTTCCTGTTTATAAATTCGGGGAAATGAAATTTTAAAATTTATTGAGTTCCAACATTTTTTAAATTTTCTCTTAGGGCTGATAGGCAGGTAATGGTAGCAAGGTTTGGGCCTCTTAAATTTTGGAACAGCCAGGCCTAGCGTTGGGCACATGGTGGCTGTCTTACAGGTACTGGAGATTGTAGAACTTAGTTATTTAACATTGGAATAGCTGCACAGATTTTTAATAAGGAGTGTCAGATCTATATTGAAAAGTTAAATAGGTTACCTTTTGAAAGTTAACTAATGTCTTTTTCATGATTGTACTCTAAATGAAAGGTTTAAAAAATGCAATATGTTGAATCTACCAACTCCAGGAGGTAGATATTAATAGCTCCGTTTTAGAGAAAATGAAAGACTTATTGAATGTTCTAGGTCACAAAAGCTAGTCAAGGCTGAGCAAGGATTTTCATTTGAAACTGGATCTCATTCCTAGGACAAATATATAATCTGAAATGTATACATCTATCTGTCTGGGGTAAATTTTGCTACTTATAAAATGTTCATGATATACAGTAGGAAGGACATGAAGGGATTTGACTTAGAAAAATGGGGTAATTAGACTTCTGTAGATTCTGTTGATTAGACCACATGTGACAGGGACTGTGTCATAAGTTTAGTTCAGTTTTATTTTCTCACCCCTGTTTTATAGATGAGGAAAGAGTTAACTTCCTTCGTTTTCTCCAACTTGACAAATGACACTTTATAGCTTAGATCTTAAAACTTTGAACCCTAGGGTATTTTTTACTCCAGTTTCCTTCATTGTCCACATCTAACACATCAGCAAGCTCTGTTGACTTTTGACTTTACTTACCCTCCTCAATAGATCTCATATCTTTTCATTTATCTTCATTTCCACTATGGCCATCCAGTCTCAAGTATCCAACTCTGAAATTTCCTGATACACATTCTAACTAGCCTCCCTGCTGCCACTTGTACTTCCTACAATCCATTTTCCACAGCTGCCATGATTCTTTACATTTTTTTTTTTTATCCTCATCTGAGAATTTGATTTGAGAGAGAGAAACATCCATTGGTGCCTCCTGTTCCCACCTGACCAGGGATTGAACCCATAACCTAGGTATGTACCCAATCAACTAAGCCACCCAGCCAGGGCAGCTGCCATTATTTTTTAAAATGTAAACCAAAATATTTCTACTTAGAACCTTTCAAAGGCTCTTTATTACACAATGAATATAATTCATCCTACCCTAAAAATCCTATAGATCATTCTGCCTCTCCAACCTTACTTTTCAACCACCTAGCTCACTAATTTGCAGTCTTACAGAACTTTCTATTACTTGAATACTCAACACTTGTCCTTGCTTCTAGTACTTACCTCTGTCTGTAACTCAGATCTTCACAAGGCTTTCAGCTCTCAGAATGTCACCTCCAAAAGATTTCTCTCCACACCAGGTCACTAAGTAGGATTAGATGAATGAACGAAGTGTCGGAACTAGACTTTGAACCTCATCCATCTGATTTCAAGAGGTCATGAAACCTTGTGATATTTTTCTCCTTTCTGAATACTCAAATCAATTATATAAATACATATATTTCCCCATATTGTTTAGGGATATTTGGCTTGGTCATTGGAAAGCACTGAACTAGTTGAAAGACCAGGAATTAGCTTTTTACAAAGTCTGCTTTCAGGTTCCTTTCATATAAAAGTGGTACTTTTTATTTTGTAGTATTGTTAAAGTATATTACATAGTTTTACATTTTATTTTATTTTTTTTTAAATCTTTATTGTTCAGATTATTACATTTGTTCCTCTTTTTTCCCCCATAACTCCCCTCCTTCCAGCTCCCACCCCACCCTCCACCCTCACTCCCCACCCACTGTGTTCATCCATAGGTGCATGATTTTTGTCCAGTCACTTCCCGCATCTCCCACACCCCTTTTCCCCCCAAGAATAGTCAGTCTATTCCCTTTCTATGTCCCTGATTCTATTATAATCACCAGTTCATTCTGTACATCAGGTTATTTATTCACTTGATTCTTAGATTCATTTGTTGATAGATGCATATTTGTTGTTCATTATTTGTATCTTTACCTTTTTCTTCTTCTTCCTCTTCTTAAAGGATACCTTTCAGCATTTCATATAATACTGGTTTGGCGGTGATGAACTCCTTTAGCTTTTCCTTATCTGTGAAGCTCTTTATCTGACCTTCAATTCTGAATGATAGCTTTGCTGGATAAAGTAATCTTGGTTGTAGGTTCTTGGTATTCAGCACTTTGAATATTTCTTGCCATTCCCTTCTGGCCTGCAAAGTTTCTGTTGAGAAATCAGCTGACAGTCGTATGGGTATTCCCTTGTAGGTAATTGAGCCTCTTTCTCTTGCTGCTTTTAAGATTTTCTCTTTGTCTTTTGCTCTTGGCATTTTAATGATGATGTGTCTTGGTGTGGTCTCTTTGGATTCCTTTTGTTTGGGGTTCTCTGCGCTTCTTGGACCTG